TGACTGAAACTAATTGACTAAAGGATATAGAAACGCAGTATATAGATGTAAATAACAGATATAGTGTGTGTGAAAGAGGAGGGTCTGAGGAAGGACATTTGGGGGAAGGACAGGGAGGCAAAGCATTAATGGCACAAAGAGGTGTGGTATTATCTGTTCAAGATATTTTGTAGTTTTATCAACAGTACTAGGGAGAAAAGTTCATCTGTTGAAATATCCATTTTGTAAGACAAATACTAATATGATTGAATGTATAGAAGAAAATGAAATTAAAAAAAACTCTTTTAAATAAAACGGAAAAAAAAGGAAAGAGGGATTTCTTTCTTTCTTTCTTCCTTTCTTTCTTTCAAAGCAGAGGTGAGACAGAAGAAAAACTTCTGCCAAAATTCTTATAACCAGAATTAAAAGTCTCTTTGGGCCAAACAGTGACACAGCAAAAATAGAACTTGACCCTTATGGGAAGGTCCCTAGTTTATGATCTCAGGGTCTCCCTCTACACACTAGGTACATGCACATAACTGTGAGGCGGGTTGGCTAAGGCTAGGGGTAGACAGTGGCATGAAGACCCTAACAGAGATAACCGGCGGGCATGTCCCTCTCTTTCTCTCTCTGTCACTCCTCTGTCCCATTCTCACCTTTGCCTCTCTCTATGGAAGAAATAAATAATGAACTTTAAAAGGAATTATACACTATTTCCAGTACCTATTCCCCTGGTACTCATAAGCCCCCCTACCCTGCTTTATTAAAGAAAAAAACAGTGAAGAGGCCAGACAGTGGTACAGCATTAAAATGCAACACTCTGCAAGGATGACCAATATGGGAAAGGAATCCTTTCAGGGGACAGGAGAAATGAAGATTTTCTGCTGATAATTCAACCTCCAGCAAACTAGGCTAGCGTGGCAGGAGAGGTGAGGCCTTCCTTCAGAAGAGGATTCCTCATGGCTCCTGCAAACTAGTCATTTCAGGGGACAGGAGAAATGAAGATTTTCTACTGATAATTCGACCTCCAGCAAACAAAGCTAGCATGGTAGGGAGCCCCTCTGGCCTTCTATCTCTGTCTCTGTGTCTCTGTCTCTGTCTTTGTCTGCTTCTGTCTTCTCATTTTTTTGTAATTTTTCCTTTTTACAATTTTTTTAAAGGTAAAGTTTTTCTCTTGCTCTCAGCTCTACCTTTTGTTTTGTTAATAATCCCCTCTGGTCCTTCTGCCCAGGAAGGAGAGGTGAGGCCTTCCTTCAGAAGAGGATTCCTCATGGCTCCTGCAAACAAGCTTCTTAAGAGTAAACATCATGGCCTGGTATGGCCACCTCCCAGCAGGATGCTGAGTACATGGCATCCATCAAGAATAGCTTTCAGGGGAACCAGCAGTTAGTGTAATGGCTATGGCGTTGGGCTCCCATGTAGTCGACCGTGGTTTGCGTCCTGGACCCGGTGGCTTAAAACTCACGCCGGGCGCGTGTGCGTGTGTGCCCAGCATCCCAAGAAGAGAATGGCGGAGAAGGGATTGTGGCGTGACCATCCCCCCTGGAGGGGGATTTCTCGCTTTCTGTCTCTATGTCTCTGTCTGTCTGACGAGCGCACGCGCCCTATAGCGAAAATCGCTCCAAAAAAAAGAGAATAGCTTTCAGAATCAATGCATGCACTGAGAACCTTTCCAACAAACTAAAATTCATGGTGTACCCATAAGACTCATTATAGTAGGTTTTTCTTAGAAAAGCATTATTATGGTATAGGTTAAATCAATGATTTATTAAATAAATGATTAAATAAATGGTTTATTAAATAAATGACTTATTGGGAACCAGCAGTTAGCGTAATGGCTATGTCGCTGGACTCCCACGTGGTCGACCACGGTTCGTGTCCCGGACCCAGTGGCTTAAAACTCACGCTGGGCGCGTGTGCGTGAGTGCCCAAGGTCCCGAGAGGAGAATGGAGGAGAAGGGATTGCGACATGACCATCCCCCTGGGGGGTGATTTCTCGCTTTCTGTCTCTATGTCTTTCTCTGTCTGTCTGGCGAGCGCACGCACCCTATAGCAAAAACCTCTCCAGAAAAATAAATAAAAATATAAATGACTTATTTTCCTACCTCATTCCCATTACACATTCATAAAGGAATACGATTCCTTCTTTCTGATGTGGTCGAAGATGATACACGAGGTAAGGGTCTATCACTACATCCACAATTGGAAAATGGTTCTTATTGAACATCCACTGGTGATTTTTGTCTGGTCGTGGCATCACAACAGAATCTTTAAAAAAGGTAAAGTACAATTAGAAATGTATTTTAATTTCACTTTGTCAGCAACTGCCATTATATTGTTTTCATTACTCCTAAAATAGAACTATCTTCGGGAACCAGCAGTTGGCGTAATGGCTATGTCGCTGGACTCCCACGTAGTCAACCGCGGTTCGTGTCCCGGACCCAGTGGCTTAAAACTCATGCCGGGCGCGTGTGCGTGCGTGCCCAAGATCCCAAGAGGAGAATGGAGGAGAAGGGATTGCGGCGTGACCATCCCCCTTGGGAGGTGATTTCCCGCTTTCTGTCTCTATGTCTCTCTCTGTCTGGCGAGCGCATGCACCCTATAGCGAAAATCTCTCCAAAAAAAAAAAAAAATAGAACTATCTTCTATCACTTAAGTGGTCAAAACAAAATCTGAGATTTACTAAGCAAGGTACAAAAATTTTTTTAAAAATCTCAACACTTACATGCAAAGAATTACAGAAACCGTCCCAAATTTTTATAACTAAAAGTGCTTTGAAACCACTGAAACTACCTATTGTCTAATAAGGAATTCAGTAAATCACAGTATTCAATAGTTTAGTAATGAGGGCAAAGAAAACTCTTTCCAACTGAAAACACATGATGGAATTTTACCAAAATACCTGTGCCAATGCTTAAAGCTTGCCATTTGGAAAGGGTTCCCCTAACTTAACTTTAAGTTTCCATTTACTCTCAGTACACATTAACAGTGACCATTACCTATAAATCAGAATCAAGAACAAATGGTAGACTATCCATTGACTTAACCATCATTATTTGCTTAAAGCTAATTACTACATTCATGAATACCAAAGTTGCGAACTTTGCAAAACAGCATGAAGTAACTATCAAACAATAACAAAATTCTTTAGAAACATGCTAACATAATTTAAAAGATTTACTGAAATACCACTCAAAAAATAACATCAAATATAAGTGCAAGGCAGATACTAACAGATAAATTTCAGGTCAGATAATAAATTCATTGAAATTCTTTTCAGGGTATATCTGTGTGTCTACGTCATGCATGCTTTAAAACTCAGATAAAAGAGGGACCAGCAGTTAGCGTAATGGCTATGTAGCTGGACTCCCATGTAGCTGACCGCAGTTCAAGTCCCAGACCCAGTGACTTAAACACGCCAGGCAAGTATAAGTGCGTGCCCAAGATCCCGAGAGGAAAATGGAGGAGAAGGGATTGTGGCATGGCCATCCCCCCTGGGGGGTGTTATTTCCCCCTTTCTGTCTCTCTGTCTCTGTCTTTCTGGTGTGCCCACATGCCCTATAGCAAAAACCTCTTAAAAGAAAAAAAAAAAAAAACTCAGATAAAAGAAATAAAAACAAAAATAGAACAATGAGATGAGATGGGAAGATAAAAAGAAAGAGGTCCAGTAGATTAAATTAATATCTATCAGTGTGGAAATACATACTCCCAGAGATGAGAGCTTGTTCATGTTTACCATTAGCAATTACCCAGAGGTTATGTTTTTTACGCATCTTTCTAGATTTTTCTATTAACTAAAGGAAACTTAATCTTTGAAGTCAGTTCCTATTATATAAAGGATTAGGAGCTGAGATGGGAAATTTAGTTATTGGTTTTCCTTTATATCTCTGTAGCAAAGCAAGAGTATACTTCTTGTGGATTTCCAAACAAGAAATGGTTTCATTTTATTTATATCTTCCAAAAAAAGAGAGAGAGAGAGAAAAAGGAGAACACAGAGGTGAAAAATTATAGGGGGCCAACTGATGGTGTGGAGGTTAGGGTGACTGGATTCCACATGACCAAAAGTGCAGTTCAAGTACCAAACCAGGCAACTTGAAAAACAAGCCAGCAATCTGTGCCTGTGGTTCCAAAATTCCAAGAGGAAAGTGGAGAAGAAGGGATTGTGGCATGTCTATCGCTCTTTGGGGAGTTGCTTCCTCACTTTCCCTCGCTCTCTCCATCTCTGTCTAGTGAACACATCTGCCCTATAGCAAAAATTAAAAAAAAAAAAAA